GCTGGAGGCCCGCAACATCATCGACGACCTGAAGAAGATTCCCAAGTTCTTCAAGAACAAGTTCAACCAGCTCAAGAACAAGATCAAGAACAAGCTCAAGGGCGGCAAAAAAGGGCGCCGCTCCCGCCGCCCCTGCCACACCCGCTGAGCCTGCCACCCCCGCTGAGCCTGCCACCCCCGCTGAGCCTGCTACTCCCGCCACTCCCGCCACTCCCGCCACTCCCGCCACTCCCGCCGAGCCCGCCACGCCCGCCGAGCCCGCCACGCCCGGTCCCTCGACCCCGGCCGGCCCCAACTCCGCCCTGGCCGCCCGCAGCCCCCGCAGGCTCTTCGGCGGCAAGGGTAGCCGCAACGGCACCCGTGCCATCCGCCGCCTCGGCCGCCCGGGCCGCAGGAACAACACTGCTGGCCGCCCCGGCAGGAAGAACACCGGCCCCATGCCCGTCGGGCTCCCGGTTGTTTAAATACAGCCAACCAACCAACCAACCAACACACACACACACACACACACACACACACAACCATGCCTGGTGCGCTTAACTGCAGCTACTGGGTGGTAAAAAAAATCACTTGTTATATCATGTTTTAGAATTTGTATTTAGACTTTTGGACATACCCCCTCATGATTTGAGATGACCCTCTTTGTCCCCCGATTACGCCGGATATTTGTTGTATATACCATAAGGGGCCATCATTGTCACCTTATTTTCTCGTGCGATACCCGTTTTCCTACTTTTGGGATAGCCGCTCTTTATGCCAGCGAAGCAGCTCGTGTTGCTTGAATCAACCTTTGTGCCTATACCGTCTTGATGTGATGTACAATGACTAACCCGCCTTGACGCTCCTTCGGTCGTGCGTATCCCCAAGCGACGGGTAATGTAATAGAAGCCAAACCGCAATATGGTCTGCGAAGAAAAAAAAAAGCCGTCGTGTGCAAGCTCAACGGCTACTCTTTCCTCGCCGCGAGAAACATCGGTAACTGAGCTTCCAATGAGCTGTTGAGATTCTGGAAGTGCGAGTCTCTTCCCTGTATCCGGTACTGTCTTGTGTGAATCCAGCGCGCCTGCCTCCCGACGCGGGGTGCTACCGTACCTTTCGGCAGATGCTTCAAGATGCTCTTCCTGCGCGCGCTCTCCCGAGAATGGCAGGCGTCGGCGCGGGCGTAGAAGGCCCTGTACCTCTTGCTCAGCGTCTGGGACAGCCCCAGGGCGTGGACCCTGCAGTCAAAGTCCCCGCGGCGCAGCACCTCGATCGCCTCGTCCAGGTGTCGGAAGCTCCGAGCCAGGTCGACGACCCCCTCTGCCCGCTTGGCCGGCACCTCCCACAGCTCCATGACGTGGCTCGCCTGCATGGACATGGAGAAGTGTAGCGCCCTTGCGGCCAGGCCGAAGCGCAGGCCGTCCTGGGACGCCAGGTCCCGCAGGCATTGTTCCTTGGCGACCTCGCCCAGTCGCGCCAGCTGGTCGACCGGGGGCTCCTTGCTCGATCCCTGCCGCCACGTCGCGAGGAGGGAGTCGTACAGGATCGCGATCTCTTCTTCCTTGTCGCCGGCCCCGTTGGCGCCTTCGATGAGCGGCCCGTAGAGCCCCTCGACGGTCTCCTGGGAGACGGTGAACTTGCTTTTCCAGGTCTTGGTGCACTGCGCGCCCATGTTCAGGACGAGGGCGTGCTCCTCCCCGATGATGCTGCCCAGAACGTGCGTGGCCTTCCAGCACGACAGAGCGAGCGTTGGCTTTGTGTCCTTTGACGAGTGGATGACAACGCAGAGCAGCGCGTCCAGCATGTCGAAAAAGGGGGAGCCCGCTGGCAGGGCGGATCGGAACCCGAGGAGAAAGAGTTTCAGGTACAGAAACTCGGTGGCTCTCCGCTGGGACGGCAGGGTGGTGTTTGCCAGAATGTGGCAGATAGTCCAAAAATGCAGGAGGAAGTTGGGATCCCGCGACTGCGCAGCGGCTTGCAGGCCATCAAAGATGCGACGAAACACTAAATCGGCGCGGTCGTATATCTCGGCGCCGGCCACGACAGCAAGGCTGGAGCAGCGGCCTGATATGGCCTGCCAGGCTCCCGGCGGGCTCGTGGTTCCGGCGGGAGGCTCGAACTGTCGCGTGGCGGCTGTCCATCTCTGCTTCTTGCCGCCCGCAAAGGTTCCCTTGACGAAGCCGTCGATGGCGTGGAAAAGGGTTTCCTGGTGAGCGTAGACTGCTGGAGACAAAAGCCTTGGGGTGGGGGCGGTTCGACGCCGACGACCCAATTGCTTCTCTAGCTGGTCGCCCCTGCCGAGCCTTTTCATGGCCGAGTTTCTTAGCTCCATCTCGCTAGCCGAGAAGGACTGTCGTTTCGATTTGAGCCTCCGGTCGAGGTCCGCCCTGGTCCGACCGTCTTTCAACTCCCCGCGTGTGCACATGTCTTCGACCCGTGCTTTGACCTTATCTGCCCTTGCAGTCTCGGTAACTATCCCGAAGATTTCCTTCGAAAAGCGGCGTGTCGGCTTGTTTGGTAGTTTTTGAGCATTGCGTCTTCTGACCGGATCCGTGATCTGTCCGCCAGGAAAACTTTTGCTGTCTGTTTTGTTCTTTCCGAGCTTGGCAAGTCTTTGTCCAAACGTTTTCTCCTTGCTTGAAAGATGCACAATGTTAGAATAATAAGAGGCAGATGATGCATCTGGAGTGGCTCACCCGACGTCGATACCATGTATTGCCAACATCTCAAACGCCACCTCCTTAGCCGTGTGGCCCCGGTAGAGGTAGAGATGGATGACGCGCTCTGGCCACGTGTGCTTTGCGGTGGCGTTGGAACAACTTTGACCTCCTTTTTTGGCCTTGAGGACGCGCAATGTGTCCGGTACACGCCCGGAGCTCTTTGTCACTTTTGTTTGAGACGCTCGAGGTGCTTTGGAGCTCGTCCCACGGCTTGCTGGATGAGAAGTGTTCGGAGCTATGAGCTCACTGTGTATATGAGACCTAGGTGGGCTTAGTCTAGGGACTAAAGATGTTCCTGAGAAGCCGGGAATTGATGGTTCGGTTGCGAGAGGCAGGCTTGGTGGCACTGCGGAAGCCGTTGTGATAGGATTAGGGGCTAGGGGGTCACTGATTTGACTAATGCTGGTCACCGCGAGCGGAGAGGGGCCGAGGTAGTTCGGGGGATTTTGGGGGAGCATCCAGTCAGTCAGGCTGAGAAGAGGCTGGTTCGGGGTCTCAGTCGGGCTTGAGGTGTGCCAAGGCATTCCATATCCTTGGGGTGGACATGCTTGATAGTAGTCGCCATGAGGGATGGCCGATATGGGATTGTCTAGTAAGGAATAGTCGCTCGGAGGCAGCTCGATGTCGGTCTGGGTCGGGAAGGCCGCATACGTGCCCACCCAACTGCTTCCGCTTAGGTTCCCGGGCGTCCCATACTGGGCGAGGTCGACGTCGGCCAAGTGGTGGTCCTGGTCAGGTATGCTCTGGGCCTCCTGGGGAAGCGGCACGTCTGCCCATAGGCCATCCATGTTTCACAGGCTAGCAGAAAAAGAGACGATGGAAAATCAAGTTTGCAATGTGAATACGCCCTAGGCTGATAGAGGCAGAGATGGCGGAACACGATCAAAGGACGATTCCTGGGAAGGCTGCCCAACCCCGCCCGCAGGCAGACGCTGTCGACCCCACCATCTTTCCGCCGGTTGCCCAATAGAAGCGTGACGATGCTAAGTTTTTGGGATCGTTGGTATTATTGGCAGTGTGAGATCTCGTTCGACTGGCCCGATGCTAAGTTTCTGTCCATTCAGGTGGTTTGGGTCCGCTTTTATGCATCAACTGCTCTTACACGAGGCGGACATTAACAACATTGGACAGCTCGCAAGCCCCCTCAGAGAAGTTGCGTGTTTAGCCAACAGATCTTCTTGGATCGCGGGGCTTTGCTTTAGGCAGCAGATAGATAGGTAGCGCTCCGTCTTCTACAAATACCTCGATGCTCTCCCTCCTGCTGGACTTGACTGTTCATTCTTTTCCATCCAGACTACCCAGAGCTCTTCTCAGACACCAAGTAGCCTTTTCACGAGTCTTCCCTATCATACTATAATTGCTTTCCCTGAGACATATCTACCATAGCCGGCCCGTAGGTCTGACTACCAAGCTTCGACGCCATGCCTCAGGCCAACGGACACGCCAACGGACATGCCAACGGACATGTCAACGGACACGTCGACGGAAACGCGGCTCCTCTACCGGCTGACCTCATAGATCCCCGGCAGGTCAAGCTCCACGACGCCTTGCATCGGCTGCGCAAGCTCGAGGCTGCTAAAGACATCGACATCCCTCAGCTGATCGTCGTTGGTAACCAGAACAGCGGCAAGAGCTCTGTCCTCGAAGCCCTGGTTGGGTTCGAGTTCCCAGTCGACAACGGGGCCTGCACCCGGTTCCCCACGCACTACAGCCTCAGAAGGGGCGAGGCGTCGACAACGGCATTCATCAAGCCCGGGCCCGGGCGAAATGAAGTCGAAAAGGCCTGTCTGGAGGAGCTGTCCCGGTCGATCAGAAACCCCACCAGCTTCCATGACCTGATGCGGGCCGTCAATGCCGGACTCGGCAAGAAGGTCGGCATGGAAAGGACGGGCGACACAGGCAAAGGGTTCTGCGACGACGTCCTGATGATCGAAAGGCGTGGCCCAGATCTGCCGCAGCTCTCCCTGGTGGACCTCCCCGGGCTCTTCACGGCATCGTCCGGCCATCAGACAGACGAAGATCAAGAGACGGTCCAGGAAATGGCCGAGACCTACGTCCGCAACAAGGGCAGCATGGTCATGGTGATCGCCAGTGCCCAGGAGGACATCCACTGCAGCTCCGGGATCGGCCTCATCCAGAAGCTGGTGCGTAAAGACGCGTCTCTCAACGAACGCACCATCTACGTCATCACCAAGCCGGACATGGCCCAGTCGTTCGCCAGCCTCAAGAGCGTCGTCGACCAGTTCAGGTTCCCCCGGCCTGCCCACTTCCTGCGCAACCAGGACAGCGGACGCGACCGACCTCGATCCCTCGCGAGCAGGGATGCCGAGGAGGAGAAGTTCTTCGGTAGCGGGGAGTGGGTGGGGGTGCCGCAGGCGCAGAAGGGCATCGCGGCCCTGAGGACGGCCCTCAAGGAGATGCTGTGGGGCCACACCAAAAACCAGCTCCGGCGCCTCATACCCGCAGTCCAGGACATGACGGAGGAGGCCCAGCGGGGCTACAAGCGCCTCGAGGAGGCGGGGCGGCCGGACCGACGCAAGTTCCTGGTCGATGTGGCGCAGGACTTCGACCGGCTCATCGGGAACGCCGTCATCGGCAACTACGTGAACCGCGAATTCTTCTCTAGCTTCGACGACACGAGCCTGGAGGTCAGGTACAAGAGGCTCCGCTCCACCGCCCGGGCCCTGAACAAGCGGTTCGCCACCGCGGTGCAGGAGCACGGCAAGACCGTGGTTATCGGACGCCCCAGGCCTTCGGGCCGCCCCCACGGGAGCGCCCCACCACCGGCCTTTCTCGCTGCCGAGATCGACCGGCTCTACAGCTACCCCGAACCCGAGTCCAAGTGCTGGGCCGACTACGAGACCTGGGTGGCCGGCATGGTGGACGACTGGCGGACGGGGGAGCCGAGGGGCCAGGCGAGCAGCATGGCCTACTGGGCCCTCTTCGAGTACCAGTCCAGGGGGTGGAAGCGCATGGCTGAGAACCACCTCAAGGCCGTCTGGATGGTCATCGACCGCTTCATCGACCTCGCCCTGGCCGAGGTCTGCCCGGACGACGGCGTCGCCGAGGCCCTCCGCCGCAGGGTCATGGACACGCATGTCGACAAGCTGCGGCTCGCGGCCAGCACCACCCTCGAGAGCCTCCTCAGCTGCCACGGCCGGGGCAACTCGGGCTTCTACGACAGCCTTGACGACCCCCACACGTCACGGAGCCGGGCCCAGGCCCTCATCTCCAAGATAGCCGAGCTGCCTTCGCTGGACGGCGGCGGCAGCCCACGCAATGCCCCGGCCCTGGTAGTCCCGCCGGTGGCCCCGGCCCCGGCGTCCCCGGC